GAAACTCATCCGGCCTCCCATAGCACACGGTTCCTCCAACAATATCTTTGGGGGTTCAAACCCTTGTTCTCTCTGTTATACGGTGTAGTCGCTGCTGGTGTATTCATGTACAAAGAGAGCAATTTTTTTTTCACCCCTTCTCCCTCAGATCTCTTGTTCGGGTTCAAGGAATTTCCTTTACCGTTTTGAGAATCATTCTAAATGTATTTATTTAACGCGCCATAGCTGTTACAGTTAAGCTGTAACCCTGGACGGACTTAACGGAGGTTTCACATGTCCCGCATATCTCAGTTCCATTTCAACTCATGTAGCTTAAGACTTCCTGTATGTTTCTCTTGTCTCATATGTCTCACCTCGCATGTTTTAGCACATCTTCATGTATATAAGGAGTTGACCAGTGAAGATGGACTCTTCAACTGGTCAACACAGGTCACTGACCTCAATAGACTTCTTGTGATCTTGTGATCTTGTGGCTCATGATCTTGCTTCCCGTGATCTCACGACTCTCGCTTCGCTCCGCTCCGTTCCCACGCTTGTTAGCACCGAGAGGTTTGTGACAATAGCCCTTGTACATTTTAAGAGCCTGCCCAGTATTTTTGCAGCACTGAGAATACGGGCATCACGCACTCGGACATGAGAATGATAGGGTAAGCAACCTAGGTGAGGTGTACGCATTGGAACCGTTGCCTGGTCCACAGTGCAGTTGCATCTTGCGACATGTGTCGCAATTGTTGTGAGTCTTGCCTTAGTATATGGTTCATGGTGGGGCCTGGTCAAACGGCCTGTGCCTGAATTGTTGTCTAACTGCAATGTAATCCGCTTTGGAAATAACCCAGAATAGTCTTCCTGTCACCAAATTAGGAAAGCATCGGGTCAGGTGACCTTGAATTGAAAATGGGTTTGTTATATTGTTCATTTTGCACCCGAAAACTGGACGAACACCGTCAACAACCTCCATCCTTTCCAGACACGCCTAGGCATCGAGGAGATGTCCCTACTGGAGAACACTCAAACCCCTACAAAAAAAGGCCGCAAGCGACGCACGGTTGAGGAAGAGGACGGGGAATATGCTGATTCCGGCGAAGAAGTTGTTACCCCTAGGACCCCATCTCCCAGAAAGCACAGGAAGGCTCAGCCCACCAATACTTTTCCGAGCAGCCCTCGTAAGAAACTTTCCAAAGGTGAAGTGGCATGGTGCAATATTGTAAGGGATTAACCTTACTTCACTATAATTCCGATTATAGTGATATTTATATTATGTTGCATCACTATAATTCCCATTATAGTGATGTGTTTATTTCTTTATTTATTTGTGCCGAGATATGTAAATTACATATATATACCTCGGAGTAGTTGTAAAGGCCCGGTAGCCTTTTACCTCTACCCCGTTGAATATACAGCACATTTAAGCTTATATTTAGACGGACTAACTGAGGCCTGAGGCGAACGGGGGAATGGAACGTACCATCCCCAAAATAGTAAGCAACCTTTCACTTTTTTAAGCTAGTTTCCTTTTACAATCTCGGCACCATGACTGGTGACGGAACCCTGCTGTGTCCCACACGCGTTGTCTACCCTGACAACGCGCATCATTGATCACGCACGCGTTGTCTAGCCCGACAACGCGCATTTGCGCCTAGTTCTCACGCGCAAATCGCGCGTGCGCCGTTCCTAGACGCACGCTCACCTAGGCTGTGCCTCAGAGTAGAGGCAACCCCTCCCAATCTCAGGATTTGGGAAGCTACCACAACACCGGTGCCAGAACCCCATTTGGCAACCCACGCATCGTTGTCCCTGACGACGCGCACATTCAATCAAGGTTCACACCGGAACCTTTGATTTCACTTCCTAATGCTCACAACCAGGAAGTTCCGGACTCACACCCACACGGCTGGCCCTTCCTCCAGTCCTATGGTGGGAGTCAACACCACTCCATCTGGAAGTGGTGATCTGGGCCCGTGAGGGCCCAGCAACGCGTCTCATACACGTTGTACCATCTCAGGAGATGCTGAACCTGTTGCAGCATCTCAATCTCACTTGGTGTCTGTCCTACTGCCACCCTCGCGTTCACCATCATGGGCCCGCTCTCCCTATTTCAAGAGCGCATGAGTATTATGTGAACGCGTCAACAAAGTTAGAACCGCGGACAAAAACGCGAGTTGACCCACCCGTGGCCACTCAGGCCCGACTTCCCTCCCCACTCACTTGCACACTAGAAAAGCGTGCTGAGACTTCCCTTCCGCCCAGTTTGGGGCGGAATAACCATTCCTCTAATGTTGTAGAGTGTGACCACACCGAGCCACCCAGCGCTTCGCTGTGTAAAAGTCTCATTGACTCTCCTGCCCCAGTGGGAGCCAAGTGTCGATCTAGCGACATTGTGAGGGCCCAAGCGACTTGTTTACCATCGGTTTTAGATGGGATCGGCAGCGCTTCAGCTGCTGCCAAGTGCCGGCTCATAGAGCTACCCGGGCGCTTCGGCAATTCCTGGGTTTGACAACCCAGATACTCCTTACACACTCCCAACCCCCTACTCATCCTGATCTGAGGGAGGATGGATTCGAGGGGCCTCAGAGGCCCTCTTCACGCCAAGAGGAGCGTTTTTCCTGGCGCTTTTGAGTGCCAGGTCACCAGGATGCTCCGGACCACGGACCTGGTGGTTCATGACTTCCTACCCCTTCCATGGAAAGGAGACCAACCCTTTCTAAGGAAAGGGTTCTCATCTATTATGGTTATAGATGGAATCGGCAGCGCTTCAGCTGCTGCCAAGTGCCAGCTCATAGAGCTGCCCAGCGCTTCGGAAATTCCTGGGTTTGACAACCCAGCAGCACCTACTCCCTCCACTCTGCAGGAAGTCGAATCCGAACCACCTCCTTGGCCCTCTGCAGGCCAAGAGGGATGCTTTCCTGACGCTGTTAAGTGCCAGGTCACCAAGATGCGCGATGCTGTTCCACATCGCGATTTTGGTGATTCATTATTCTCCACCCCTTCCGCGGAAGGGAGACCAACCCTTTCTAAGGAAAGGGTTCTCATCTATCGTTCACTGCATAGTGAACGATCTGTTCTGCCCACAGACACTCCACCTCTGGGAAAGTCTGTGTGTTCCCGGCATTATTGGGTGCCAGGCCCCCAAAATGCGCGGTGCTTCTTTGTACCGCGCTCATTTCTCTGTTGCTTTTCCATCTGGAAAAGGGTTCTCTTCTGTCGTTCACTGCATAGTGAACGATCTGTCTTGCCAACAGACACCCCACCTCCAAGGGAAGGTCTGTGTTTTCCTGGCACTGTTGAGTGCCAGGTCGTCAAAATGCGCGGTGCCTCTCTGCACCGCGCTCATTTCCTTATTGCCTTCCCATCTGGAAGGCTGGCCCTTTCTAAGGAAAGGGCTTCTCTCTATTGTTCACTTCACAGTGAACAAGCTGTCCCACCGACGGACAAGCCGCCCCCAACAAAAAAAAAAAACCCGTGTCTGAATGATCAGACATGCTCAGTCCTGCCCAGTTCATGGGCCGCGCTTCCATTCTGTCACTCATATGGACAGAATGACCTCTCTACTCCCCTAGATGACTATCTAGGGAGGAGCAGATCACTGCTCAGAACTCCGGCCCACATTCAAGTGTGGCGGAAATTTTGTCTTATTTTTTTAACCTAGATTCCTAGGTTGAATTTTCAACTACTCCCCAGACAACTGTCTAGGGAGGAGAAACAAACCCGTGCCACTCTTTAGTGGTTATCTTTGTGGGTCAGCATCGTGCTGACTCATATCAAACTATTATTTTACTCCCAGAGAACACTCTAGGGAGGAGCGGCCTCAGTGACCTTTGGAATCACTGGCCATTACCGGGGTATTGACCTTCGGTGAGTTATTTGTGTCACCAGAGTATCAACCTTCAGGTGTGGAATCACTGGCCATCACCGGGGCATTGACCTTCGGTGAGTTGCTTCCATCACTGGAGTATCAACCTTCAGGTTGACTGCTTCATCTCTTGCTGGGTGGAAGCCATGATGCCGCAAACTTGTGGGCATTATAAACTTGTGCCCAATCCCGCAGCGGACCAATTCAGGTGTCACTGCCTTTTCTCATCAACAACAATGCCGTTGTTGGTTCTTTTCCTTTCCTTTTTTGATTTTTGACGGTGACTCAACCGTTACTCTAGCTTGTCATATTGACACTTGCTACTTCATCGTCGACAATGCTGTTGTCAAGAGCTGGGTACATATGTTCCAGGAGAAACTCTAAGTGGGCTTTGCCTACAAACTACTACTATAGCCTCCTGCAATGAGTGTACCCCCGCTTGCATACATTCTTTGTATGTAGAGTGTTATATTTCCCTAATATGCTTGCTTTCCCTTTCATATGCTTGTACCCTGTCTGCGATTCAATATCGCAAGGGAGGAGGATGTAAGGGATTAACCTTACTTCACTATAATTCCGATTATAGTGATATTTATATTATGTTGCATCACTATAATTCCCATTATAGTGATGTGTTTATTTCTTTATTTATTTGTGCCGAGATATGTAAATTACATATATATACCTCGGAGTAGTTGTAAAGGCCCGGTAGCCTTTTACCTCTACCCCGTTGAATATACAGCACATTTAAGCTTATATTTAGACGGACTAACTGAGGCCTGAGGCGAACGGGGGAATGGAACGTACCATCCCCAAAATAGTAAGCAACCTTTCAGATATCCCTGAATGGCACCACGATCGTTCTCCTTTTCTCAGCCTACCTGTCGAAATACTTGATAAAGTGAGATATCCCCCTTCAACCCAGGCTTCAATAGTACTAGTCGGAGCCCCATCTCTTCCTATCCAGATTATGAGCAGGGAAAATGGCCTCGAGGTGCATAAATCCAGAGATCTGTGGTGTGAGTTTTGGAACTGACCTGGCCCTTCTCACAGATCACAGACTATCTTGCGCTGTCCGGAGTAAATAGGCAAATACGAAGTCTTTTTACCCTGGAAGTTTGGAAAGTAAGGCGCTTGTTGGATTCCACCTATGCTATTGCTTACGTCATCGCACCATCAGAAACTGTATGGACAAAGGTTGGATTTGGATATTAATGAGGATGTTCCCCACTTGTGGAGTGCAGGCTGGCTTGCCAGCAGGCAGATCCGAAGGCCAATGGGGTTCTTCAACAGCAGTTGTCATCATAAAGACCTGGTATGCCATGGCACACCATGAACAATCCTAAAGCTTACGCTAAGATTCCAGCTATTGAATCAGCTTCAGCTGGTTGAGTGGGAAGATGGAGAAAAGCATCATTTGATCAAGCACACCCCATATACAATCGTCATGGTGAGCTTCCAGTGCTAGTGTTATTCCTCGGGGGGTGATCAGGTTATACGTTCCCCTCACAGCGATCCCATAGTCAGCGGCTCAAGAAAGTACAAGGTACGTTCCTTTTCATGCATGGTATGCATTTGTAGGTGAATTCATTCATCTCATAGATTAGCAATAAGCTCGTTCCTGCATTGGTGGGTGGTATTTCCATATCTAACTATTCTCTGCTGATGAATATCTTCTTCAGAAAGCGCTTCGCCACAAGCAGTCCTATAACTGGAATGATCCCATCAGGTGCGTCGAGACCCTGAGCTCCATTGCCGTTGCCTCTCACAAAGCCAATCATTACTTCAGGAACAACAAGGACTGCTACGTCTTCCTTGAGCCCACTGTGCGGAGGTTTGCCTTCATGGCTCATGGCGGCGTTTGGGAACATGAGCAACATGTCAAGAAACTCAATGAAAGGGCTATTGCGAGGATTGAAAATTCCGTACGTCTTAGCTTACCTTCGGAACATAGGAGAGCCTCACCCACATGAGGAATTAGATGAACAAAAACCAGGATCCACCTGAGGATGGTGAGGCTTTGATGAGAAATCGCGTATCGCATGTTGCACTGTTTCCATTAGCAAACTTTCTTGGTCCCCGTGTATCTTGTTTCTTGCTTATATCTTGTGTCTACAATCAGTTTCACCACATCTGTATCCCATCTGTACGTTTAGTTCCTTTCTTGTGGAAAACTCGGCGTAAATATGTTTTGGGCAGAGTTCGAGCTCAAGAAATAACATTTGCATTATGTACATATACCATACGTTCCCTTTGGCGGCACCGGCGTGTAATTATGCAGATCCTATGCAATCCATACCAGAATTTCTCACTTCGAGTTTGAGTGCAAAAGAAATCTTGCTAACTATGCTTTGCCTTGCATGCCAAGGTTGACCCTATTATTGTTGGGGCCGCATCAATCTGGAGTTTTGGCTGGCGGCCGAATAAAGGCATAGAGTTGAGGGAGGTTTTGGTGACACGATGGATATTGGATCGCAGGAACAAACAAAACTTGGGAGGAGGGGCATGAAAGGGGGACAGGGCAGTCAATAGTGTAGCAAAAACCCAGGCCGAAGCAAACGTAACATGCATCCAACCACCGGTAGACCAACATCCGTGGGTTATGCAAAATAATGCGATTGTTGGGTGAAAGAGACCGATTAAAGGCAGAAGCCATCAAACATGGGTGATTATCAAAGCGAGTGTACTGCAATCAAATATTGAGATTAGAAAGTGATTGGACAAAGCTGTGACTACAATCTGCCAACACCAATGGAAGTGCATACCCAAAGGGAGGGCAGCACAGATGTTAGAACGATAATGCGATGTACACACTGAGGAAAGTGATTCCATGATAAGGTCATGTGCTGTAAGAGGCCATCGGACACAAAGTCAGTCTGTGAAGACAAACTGAACGTTGAAGCACTCACATAATAGGAGGGCTAAAGCGGGAGCTCAGTCTCTGTAAATGAAGAACTGAATTACTACGTTTAGTACTAACCTAAAGCGGGAGCTATAGTACAGAAGAGTACAGAGTAAGTAATGTAACAACTAACTAAAAGCAATGATACTAACCTCAGTCTCCGTAAATGAAGAACTGAGGAGAAAAGGAAAGTAGAGCGAAAACAGTATATACAATTATATACATTGTGTCACGAGGCAAATACGGATGTAAGAGGGATCATGTGGTGTTGGTTGGTAAGTCACGGGTCGTTGTTACTCCAACATCACATCCTGTCGCTTTCCAGCTTTGTCCTCGCGTTGCGCATCCGCTATGGGACATGTGTGGCATTCCGGGTTCATTCATTTGGCAGGGAGAATTTGGGGTTTTATTTTGGGTTTGGGGGGAGATGGTTAAGGGCCGTCGAAAGTTAGGAAAGTAGTTAAGAAATTGGTCGGAGTGTGTTGGTTTTCACTGTGTTTTCTATGCGTTGTTACGGACCAACGAGGTCGGCTTGTATGTCTTACCTGAGCTGCTTTGTAGCGGAGTTGGCCGAATTTATTCGTTTATTCGTTTATCCTGTGCCTATAAAAGCTGCAGGCTCCGTCTCAATCACTTCCATTCGAATCTTCATCTCACGCCCAGTCGTCTCCAACTTGGACTGCAACTCCGCCAATTTTTTCAGCTGCTAATCGTTTTCCATTCCCCCACTCGTTCGTTTTCATGATGGTGAGGATCAGTCGTGTTTCCCTGAGAGTGGGAGGTGATCGATGTTGGATTAAGAGATACACACCGAAAGGGGTCAGTCATTGCTTTCATCGCGGCCGAAGATTTACAATTAGCGCGACGGAGCTGATGGGAAACCAAGCCCGAAAATGGTTTTTACATCCGCTTTTGGCACCACACACACATCAATTCGCTACAGGGAAAGCAAGGCTTTAGGTGCAGGGATATCAACAAATGGTATTAGTGAGAGCCGTGGTCTGAATGTTCGGAATCATTGAACGACAGCATCTCGGTACCGGAATTGAATTGGATCTCAGATCGGGTGTGTTAGCTGAGTTTTGAGAGCAGTACACTCTCTACCTTCTTGCAATGTCGAGCAACATTGAAAACACCAACATCCCAGAGCAACTTCAGGCCATTAAATCCGCCCTCGAGGCGACCGAGCGCCCTTTCTTCTGCACTGGTAACATCCCATTGGATGAGAACGTATCCATCACTATACTGCTTTCCGAAACGTCTGGGGAATCATCACCCAAATTCACTCCCGTCTCTTTCCCGCTGAAGAATGAAAGCGAAATTGTGCCACTCATCAATGCATCTAGTCAGGCCTCGTTTGGGAAGGGAAAAGAAGACGTGTTTGATCCTTCGTACCGTCGCGCCCTCGTGCTTCAAAAGGAGAACTTTGGAGTTTTTCCTGCAGGGAGCCTGGACCCTTATAGTCTAGGTATCATTACTTACATATCCAAGTTTCTGCTTCCTTCGAATCCGCACTCGCCCGCCGGACAGATGAGCGATGATGAGAACTTTCTGCATGCACTGGAAGCAGACACTGGAAGGGTCCGGATCATTGCTTGTTTGGACAAACTTAACGTTTATTCTACTGGCGACTTCTTCAAGGGACATATCGATACCCCTCGCTCCTCAGACATGTTCGGGACACTGCTTATCAATTTGCCTGCCCGACACGAGGGAGGTCAGCTTGTGGTCAGAGCACCAGGAACGGAAAGTAGCAACAACAGCCTGGGCCACGAGGAGTACACTACACAATGGGGAAGCGGCGCAAATCTCGAGTGGATAGCCTTCTTTTCTGATTGTGAGCATGAAGTTTTGCCAGTCACGAGCGGCCATCGGTGAGCGTATCCAATAACCGTTTTCGCAATCCATTCTAATATTTGACAGAGTGACGCTCTCGTACACGCTCTCGTTTGATAGCACTAGTAGCGACAATACATCATTTGGCACCGATTTCTTGGCTGAATCGGGTTCCAATCACAATCTCAGTCTGCTATATCACGCACTCACTGCTCCCAGTGTTTTCACCAACATCGAACATCCTCGTCTGTGCTTCTATCTGGAACATCAATATGTGAGTCATTATCTATGCGATCGTCTCGACATTCTCGATGGCTCAAGAGTATACCCACCTAGCCCATGGACGGGGCATTGGAGAAGGCGGATTCAGTCAGTCACAAGGTAGGGACAATGCAGCCTCCACGGTGCAGTATCGGCATTCATACTCCATCTTTCTTTCAGCTCAAAGGTCGTGATGCCGTTCTTTATCACATGTTAATTCAAACGGGGGTCAGCATCACCTTTCACCACGTTCTCTTCGCCGAGTACCACTCCGAGCATCGAACTCGTGCAATACTCCCTCGATCTGCCAAGCTCCACACATGGGGCGAGATGGAAGGCGGCGTAAATACATTGATCCGTACACACAAAGGCCGGAGCCCCGGGAGGCTAGGGATCATCGAAGTGAATGGGAATCCTAAAAAGTTCGTTAAGGTGGATTTTGTCGCATACGGCAATGAGGCCTCGTTGGAGACGGCGTATGGCACTGTATGCATGGTGACAACCGTGCGGGGATTTGATGTTGACGAGCCTTGGAGAGTCCGCCACGACTATCATGAATATTAAAACGAGTAATCTGGCTGTGATCTGTATGACAAAGCTGCTTTTTTTCTTGCGTTCACAAGCTTGAAGCACTTGTAAATGCGAACGGCGGGACACAGTGGTAGCAACCCTTGTCATTTGTTGCATGATCAACGTTAATTCTAAACTTGTGTGCTACATTTGGCGCATTTGACGGCTGGTGGCAATCAACCCTGCACGGATCCGAAAACAATTTGGGATTTACTCAAGCACCTCGTCAATTAAAAATTAGAAATTCATTATGCAATATTAGGTCTATATACCCGACCATTTGCCTAACATTAATTCCTAGATGCGAGTATCCTGTCTTCGCAGGAGGGCGAGTGTAAAGCTGAGCGCTCACGTAAGTGCTCAGCTTGCGAGGACAGGATACCCATATCTAGGCTAAGTTTAATACCCTATAAGCCGGAACACCGAGAGCTGACTCCGGTGGAAGCACCAAGCAGTAAACGGGAGTAGCAGCAGCGGGTCAAAGGTGTAAGCCAGGAAAACGAGCAGCAAGTTGGATCTCACTTACCAGAAGGGCGCGAGATACCAGGCGACAGGGAGGAGAAAGGGGAGCTATCAGGGCTCTTTTATAAGCATGGCCTAGACAATGTCCTCACTTCCACTGAATGGTGCGCCTCGCGCATCCGTGCCGAAACATTCCGCATACGATGAGGCAGCGTGCCTTGGCCCATTCAGGCTAAGTTGCGCGAAAGGTGAGGTGAGGCATGTGAATGCCAAAGCGGTCCCGACAGAGCGCAACCAGGTTTCCCGGAGCAGAAGCTGGAAACCTGAGGTCAGCTGAGGGCAGACAGCTATCCCGTGATTAGTCTCGTGATTCAACGCACCCGGTTTCCTACGTGTGCACGCATAATTGTGGGAACAATGTCTGCTTTGCGACATCTCTCGTATCCTGGCAGGTTGAACATGAGCTACATTTACTCAGAAAGTTGTCAACAAGTAAGAACGGAATGCATGCAAATGGGTTGGGGAAAATACTATCTCAGTCACTGTCACAGAGCTATCGGGCCAGCGGGCCACTCAAATAGACAACTCGGTCAGTTGCGCATTTAGCGGTGGTGTCATTACGGGAGTCATAGCTCGCAAGTCGGGCGGAGGTTGGGCCCCAGACATCCGATTGGTCTACATTGGAATGATCAAACAAAGCGCCAAACGCCAGTAATGTGTAAAACTGCCTCAAATCAAAATGAGAGCAGGAGTTGAAAAATTGTTATATATTTGCAAGGGTGGGTCGCCGGACTCTAAGTCCTCACCTCCCATGACGCATGTCAAATCGTGGTCCTCAAGGCCATCAGACCCTAGCACGGAATTGCGGCAACTCCCTCAGAGACAGCCAAGCATGCATTCACCAACTGCCAATTGGACCCAAGTACTCCCTTGCCAGCAACATGGCGTCAAGGTTTCCACCACTCAACTCCATCACCTTCACTCTTCACCCCCAGGACTCCAGAAAGAAAGCGAAGCAAGCTAACCACAAGAGGATTTGCGATTCGCTATCTGTGGGTTCGTACGAATTGTCCGTCCCACGCATCACGGTTGTAAGCCCTTTGCTCCCGAGGCCCTCTAGCTTGGCCGAAAGCTATCCCATACACCGTGCAACCAGCGAAGCCGGTACACTGCAAGCAGTTTGCATCTCTGAGACCCAAGTTGCCACATTGGCAAACGAACACCTTCGAGGAATCGAGAACATATCTCTCATGCAGCGGCCGGAATGGTGATACCAGCTTCTCCCCGCAGGGGCTACATGCTCTCAGGTAACCGGGCCAGAGGCAAGCGCCAGGTGGGAATAAAGGCTCCGCCTAGCACGGGTATAAGATCAGCCCAGCGCAAGCTATAGCAGCCCCTTAAAGACCTGTTACCGTGAACCAGAGCAACACGTAGTGGGAAAGCTGAATTGCACTCGCATGGCTGGGACATAGCCTGCTGATTCCTCCTTTCATCGCGTCGTAAGGGCAAAGTCGGGTGGCTGAAGAAAGCGCAATGGCGTCACGAATGTGTCAACTGAATCCAAGCCGTCTTTCCATGTTAAAAGAGCAGTTCATGGAGCATCGCAAGTCATGCTAGTGACAAAATGATTGTGGAGACGGGGTGTAAGGAGTAGAGTGATGGGGCACGATTCCAAGCACAAAGAAACGGGAAAGCACCGACGCTCGCCATCTATGAGACCTAGTCCCAAACCCTCCCAGACCCTCAACTGCAATAATGCCCTTGCTGGCCTCCCGTCTATTCCCCTTGAATGGTTCACCCTCAACTCGTGTGACCCACCAAACAACACCTGGAAAGCCAGAGTATTTTTACAGTTTGAGGCCATATTCCAAAGCATCCTTTGGGAAGTTCGGTCATCCCACGGCCGAAAACACTCGCAAAACAACCGAAGCGGTAAGATAAGAAACACAGTATTCCGTAGGTTTGCCATTCCCCCGAACCGCACCAGAGCGCAACGAGAAAACCATGTCGCTTCAGGAGCCAAGGACGGGATCGTGCTCCTCCAGAGACAATCTGCTGTAGGTCCTGGAGTGAAACGACATCCCGCGCCAGTGCGTTGGTGTTCACCTCCCGACTCATCTCGCATCTTGAACATCTGGCCATGAAGTCTCATGAAGGTCAGGCCGTGGCAGAATGCCGACCCCACCCTTACGATGCCGATGAAGCTCTGCCGAACACCCACAAAGTCTCAGAGAAGACACAAGAGTACGTCACTGACTTGATTCGCATTGCATGCTATCGCGTCGCGTTACTCTGGTCATCCAATGAGCCAATAGAGAACGTCGCAGCGGCCTCCTCAACAAAGTGGAAGGGTCCGTAGGAGGTGACGCGTCACGGTCAACATCAGCGTTCCGAATGAACAAGCCAAAATGAGCGGTCATACGGTGTAAAATAGCCTGGGCCACAGAGACATGAGAGCGTCTTTCAGACACGTCTAATGACGGTTATATCTCGCCCAAAGAGAACGAGATAACGCGTCCCAGAGGTGGGTAGAGGGTTGATATGGGATGAATACGTGCACCTCTGTGTATGCTATAGGGTTGGGTTTTGCCTAGGCTATGACAGAGTCACTGCCGAGGCAGCGGGAGGCGGAATCCAGGGTCATAAGGGGCGAGCCGAGGGTTCTCGTATCGTGAGGGCGCTGGGTGTTAAGGCGTACGGAAGCACAGAAGTCGCAAATAAGCATGAGTGAAAGGGCACTAATTGGTCAAAAATGTGGCATCCAAGTGCAAGTAATCCCTTATGTTACACTTTGCACACGAAAGTCGGAAGGGGAGTGAAGACAACCGTGGAAGTGGAAGATACGTAAACACGCGTAGCAGTGAGCTCAAAAAATCCCGAGTCACGTGACCTGTGGCCACAATACGAAAGTTCAACCTGGCCCTGCTGGGCAACCGTAAATGCCTCCTTTCACTTGTGCAAAAGTACTCGTGTCGCCCCTCTGTCGACATGTCATAGGGGAGAGGGCTTTTATATCAACATCATCTGTCTCCAGCGCGGGGGCTAGCTCAGATGCGTCCTCTTCGAAAACACGTGAGAGTGGGGGACGCCGTGCAGCGAGGGATAAAGACGGGAACCCTATTGGAAGAGACAGTGGTCCGTTATATCGGGACTGGCTAAAGACCACTGGATCCCAGTTCAAACAACCTAAGCTACATTCGACCAATTGGCTGGGGGGGAAAGTGGTATGTGCGACGCCTCCCTCACACGTGTAGGTCATCACTAATGAGTTATCCATAGCCATTCCCCTTAAATCCGACATTCAAGCCACCACCTCCGCTTTCGGATGCACTCCGTAATACGGTATATAATGCATGGTTACGTGACCCTAAAGCCAATAGCCCTCGACGGTTAGCTGCTCAGCACAGTATAAGCATCAAACGAGTTGAAGCCATTATAAGACTGAAGTCCCACCAAAGGAATCTCGGGAAGGTGTGTTCTCGTTTAGATTCCCTCTTTCTCACTGGTCCAATGGATTTCTATGATGAATGCGATTTCTATGACATTCACTTTCTGAGCTTTTGGTTTCGAAAGTATTGTCTTTTGCTTCCTGAGGCTCATCTCTTGCTTGCGTTAGGGCTTCGAACTCCAAACTGGTTTTCTTCGTGCTTGGGAGTCGGCTACTGGAGTGTTTGCCAAAGTTCCCCCGGAAAAGCGAGATATCAATGTCAAGCCAGCCAAGGTAGATCGTGATGATGCCGCCGCCGCAGATTATGATGCGGACTGGGAGCAACTCCCATCCACTTCTATCTCGTCTGTGTACTGGGAACCTGTGGATGATGGCAAAGTATGTTATCGAATGCTCCTTGTGTTGTCCTTGACAAGGCTTAATAATCGTCATCGTTAGACACCCATTGTCCCTACGACCTTGGAGGAATTGGCGCAGACGAAGCTGTCACAGGTTGCATCCAAACCCCGACCCAAGTCATCAATTAAGATAGGCAGCACCACTTTTGTGGATGTTGGATCCAAGTTCCAGCATACATATAGCCCAAGAAATCATCAGAAGAGGAAGGAAGTCAGAGCTGCTCGAACCCTTTCCAATGACACTACTGCCGCAAGACCCCATGTCCATACTGCGAACCCTACTGTGTAACTTATTCTCATAGTATCTATCCTGGGCATACTCACTCTGAGTCAACGCTCCGCGTTCATTCATCAACTCATCTGAGATTTTTTCGTAATTATCAATTTCAATATCGAGGTTGTTGACTTGATCAGCGCGATTGAATTGTGATCGTCGCTCGGATTGCCACCTTGTATCTATTCATTGACTCCAGCCTTGCTGTTAGCGACTTTCTTTAACCAGCTCAACAATCTGTCCTCGTTTTGCCTCCCTTGTCATGGCTGACTCGCAGCATTATGCCACTCTTTATCATGCCGCTACTGGTAACTCATTAAGTTCTCCGTTTCCAGGAGACAAGTCCGTAATAACTGACGCTTCGAAAATTTGCAATGTTGTCTATTTGTTGATGCAGCTGGGTATCCATCACCTGCTCACCAGGAGCATCAACCCAATCATTACAGTGCATCTTCACATTCACCACGCCTCGCTCGTTCCGCCCTTCAACATCCGTACGACGACTACAGCATGCAGTCTGGTCTCGGTTCGTACGGTTTAGACAGTTCTCAACCGCCTCCTGAGGAGCAGTGGGACTCTAAAAGCTTCAAATCATATCACTCTCAAACTCATCTGAACTCTCGGTACGAGATGGAGCAAGTGCGCGGTGCGCCGCCGCTTCCTTCTGTTCCTTATCAACAGTCCAACTACCCGCCTCGTTCTCCCGTGGCTTATGCGCCGGGTTCCCTTCCCTATTCTCGTCCCAATGTTTCTTATCGAGACCCGAGCGGTGGCTGGTCCAATGCTCACGAGCAGCTCATGAAGCGACGTGTGAGTGGTTGGCCTAGTTGTTGGATGCTCTTGAACTAATCATTATGCCCGCAGTCCGTTCGTCAAGTTCCTCTGCGCGAAGGGAATCTCGTCCTAGATATGCCGGCACCATCAGGTGAGGTGCATCCATTCACTCTGGGATGAAAGAGGGCTGATGGTGTGATTAGGTATCTTGGTCAGTGGCAGGACAGACGACGAATTCACACACATCCGGTACTCCGCCTGCACTGTTGACCCAGATGAGTTTGTCCGTGCCAAGTACTCCCTTCGACCATTCCTTTACGGTCGTAAGACTGAGCTCTTCATTGTTATGACCATGTACAATGAGGATGAGGAACTCTTCTGCAAGACGATGAATGCAGTCATTAAGAATATTGCGCATTTGTGTGGGAGGAGTAGGAGTAAGACGTGGGGTGCGGATGGATGGCAGAAGGTTGTCGTATGTGTCGTTTCGGATGGGAGGAGTAAAATCAACCAGCGGACGCTGAAGGTCTTAACGCTAGTGAGTGCTTTTGAAAACAGTTGCGTCGAGGCTTACTCAAGCGATGTAACAGATGGGAGTTTACCAAGATGGTGTCGCGAAGGACACCGTCAATGGGAAAGACGTTCAGGCGCACATCTTTGAGTGCGTCTCTTCCGTAACACCCTCATGGATCTTAGTGCTTGTACTCAAAGTTTATTTAGGTTTACCACTCAGGTGATGGTCACCTTGAATGGCGAAGTCTCGCAGGCTCCCTGCCCGATTCAAGTCATCTTCTGCCGTTTGTCTATTTCCAGTTATCCCAGTGGAAAATTCTGAGCAGGACTCTTTATGCAGTAAAAGAGCAGAATAAGAAGAAACTCAACTCGCACCGATGGTTCTTCAATGCCTTCGGCCCTTTAATCAATCCCAACGTCTGTGTACTTCTAGACGTAGGTACGAAGCCAACTGGGACGTCCATTTACGAGCTCTGGAAATGTAAGTTGGTTCCCTCACGTCGTTATCAAATTGGGTGACCGTATTCTGTGTTAGGCTTCGACAAACATCCGAACGTTGGAGGCGCTTGTGGAGAGATTGCCGTTGACACTGGTCGTGGTTGCTCGCTTTTGCTCACTAGTCCCCTGGCCGCATCGCAGAACTTCGAAGTTTGTTGCTTGTCACTACTCTACGTTTCTCGATTCAGACTTACTCTCATCCATCTCGCAGTACAAGATGTCGAACATCCTGTCAGTTGTCGCTATTCACTGCCCAGTTGCATCTACTGACCTCGATCTCCCTGGAATCTAGTGATAAACCCCTTGAAGTACGGAGTTTATCTCAGCCAGCGGTACCCAATTCTGACTTTTGCCTCCTTTCCGCAGAGTGTCTTCGGATACATTAGCGTACTCCCTGGCGCATTCAGTGCTTACCGGTACAAGGCTCTTCAGAACTTGCCGAACGGGAGCGGACCACTAGCGAGCTACTTCAAGGTTCGCCTTTCAGTTTGTGTTGACCGTACTCGAGATCTGATTTTCCTTTCTCATCCACAGGGCGAGACGATGCATGGTGGTGGTATCCACGGTGCAAGCCTAAATACTCGTAATATGTATCTTGCCGAAGGTAACTCTAATTATCGCTTCTGCCCCTTTGGTTGGTGGGTAGTAATTTGGGATATGTGCAGATCGTATCTTGTGTTTCGAGATTGTGACCAAGAAGAGCGAATCATGGGTGTAAGTTCTCTCGTTTGCATGGCGTCATTTTCTCTTTCTGAAATGGCATTCAATAGGCTGAAGTATGTCAAATCGGCAAAAGCAGTTACTGATGTCCCGACTACCGTGCCCGAATTCATCTCACAAGTGAGTCCTCACCCTATAGCTTAACGGAAATCTGTTATCGATGATCCATTTGCAGCGTCGACGATGGCTCAATGGAAGTTTTTTCGCTGCCCTTCATGCCACTATCCACATGTTCAGAATATGGACTTCCGGTCATGGAGTCTGGCGCAAGTTTGTCCTTCAGGTGAGTTTGTAACATTGTTGTCCAACACGAACATTGGAGACTCATCGTGAATTTCTACCCTTTCAAGTTTGAATTCATTTATAATGCTGTCCAGGTTCGTCGACAGGGGGACGACTTCAGGTTGGCGTAGTTTGATGTTTTGTTATTTGCGCTGCAGATGATTTTCGCCTGGACTTCACTAGCCAACTTCTATCTTGCTGTGAGTGTTTTCTCGGAGGAACAATGTACTTTCTGACTTGGATTGATTTTCATTAGTTCGTGCGTACCGCCGATCAGTTCATTGAAACGTTAGAACCTGATTTCTTCCTATGCGCGGCACCCCGCCTCAGTTTGTACGTATCATTTTTCCGAGCATCACTGATTGTGTATCTGGACTCATGTTGATTTGTAGTTCGTAAGTAGTGTACTCTGACATAGTTTCGGAGGAATTCAACACTACCCTCTTCTAGCTTGTTCAATCCGCTACAATCCCTGGTCCTGATGACGCATTCAACTTTCTGGCTAACGGTGCAGGTGCGAAGGTTTTTGAAATAATTCTCAAGGTGCGACAATCACAAGTAGCTCCCGTGCCGGGTTGGCTCGTCGACTGATGGTGTTCTCGTAGATCTACATTGCCGTCCTGCTTCTCGTGCTCATCTGTTCCCTCGGTAATCGACCTCAAGGTTCAAAATGGACATATACCTTTGCCATAGTCGCATTCGGCATATGTAACATCATCGCTCTATGGTGTGCAGGGTTTACGGTGTATCTGGCTCTTCCTCACACGGCAACCGGATGGTCGCATGTTGGTAAGCTATTGAAGAATCGCACGTTCCGCGATATCGCAATCAGTTTGGCGGCGACATACGGGCTGTATTTCTTTGGATCTATTATCCACTTTGAGATATGGCATCTTTTTACTAGTTTTGTCCAGTATTTGTTCTTTTTACCGAGCTGTGAGTTGAAAAATTGTGTGAAGTGCATCATCTAGGCTAACGCATTTTTTTTCTTCCAGATGTCAATATTCTAAGTACGTGCTTCTTCGTTGTTATTTTGTCATGTCTGATGACATGAACTGAACCGCCATGCGTAGTGATGTATTCGATGTGTAAGCTGCACACTAAAACGTTTTTTCCTGCATTCTACTGACACCGACACGATTATGCAGGCAATCTGTGGGTTTCCTCTATTATGAGCGAACACCCAGCTTACCACTTACGATCTTTTATCGTGTTTTAGTCACGATCTCGGCTGGTTGGTGTCACACATTATCTTCTTGGTCGTTCTCATTCAGCAATCTTTTCTAGGGGAACAAAGGGCGACAATGGCGCAGCGAAGGACCTAGGTGGCGCCAAGAAAGTCAAAGATGAAAACGGCAAAGAAGTCATGGAAGTTGAAGTGATCACTGCGAAGGAGGACATTGATAAGCTATGGAAAGCGAGCCAGCATTCGCTGCGTATTCCGGCACCCGAGGAGAAGCAGCATCGTGACGCTGCGACGAAGCAGTCTGATCATGATCGGAATAGTCGGACCAATGTAGTGCTTGCTTGGATAGGAACAAACATGTTGGCGGTTTGATCCCCTTGTTTGTAAGGCGCTGATCGATTTTGGTAGGATCATGGTCATTGCGTTCACCTCCCAATTCTTCAATGACTGGGCTGCGAAGCACTTCACTAGTAGTACAGGAGGTTCGTCCCTGCCCAAACGGCTCATCTGAAGACCCACCTAATGATACCTTTTATGGTTCTCGCTCACAAGTCATCAACCCTTATCTTATCATGCTTTTCTACGCTCTTGCTGGTTTGAGCGTTGTTCGATTCACGGGCTCCGTTCTTTATGTCATATTCCGATTATTCGGTCAATGAAAAGGTCCAAACGCTTTTTCATTACTTATCGTTCGTTTGTTTCTACTATTTTTCATCCTGGTCTTTTTTTCGCTCGTTCTTCGTTTCGATTATGTATCCTTAAGAGGCTTGCTTTGTGATCTCCTGGCGAGGCTGATGATTGCCGTTCAAACGTGGTCCATTTAATAACGATTATTTTGTTCATTCGGGGTGTCGGTACGTTGACACCGCTAGCGGTTTGATATATGCAGGAGGTTTGCGACCCCTAACTTTAAAGTCATGAGGTGCCGAAATCCCGGCCGCTGTACGGTTAATTGCTATACCTGCCTAATGGCTAATCGTTTTTTAACACACTGAGGGAGCGCGAGGGACGAAGGCCCAAGATCGCATATCTAATTTTCAACTTACGAGGTGCCTGATGATTTACTGTGGGTGGACGTGGACGTCCCTTCGGTTCCTTGCACCACCTCGGCGTCGTTGTTCTGCAAGTTTACCGTTGACAATTCGCTACCGCAAACGATGGCGAAGTAGGCGTGGCGACGAATGGTTGATTTGCGAATTGATGCATGGTTTCATTGATACCTCGTTGCCAATTCGTTAGCGTAAGGTAGGTGTCTGTTTACGATACTACCAGCTCCGTTCCATATCTCGCAGGCTCGTACCCAGCCGTTCTGTTTATGCTTGTTTATCTTGTCAGAACGGCTGGTGGAAAACATTTTCCCACGACAGCCGTATACTGTTATTTGTGCATATTGAATCGAACAAACAACACTCAACAAGAATATTATTGCGCAACTGATCTCACTGTCCGATATGATGAACGTCCACCAGTCCCCACTTCCTTTACCCTTTCAAGTGCCGAAGAGAGCGCGTGTAGAGGCTGTGCTTAACTCCTTCGAAGCAAATGGTCTGATATTGTATGAATTTCTCGACGCTTGCCTTAGCGATGATCTGCGTCACAACCCCACAAATCTCCATAAAATCAAGGGGTCTCTCCCTACGCTTGTTGGTCTCATTATTGAAAGGGAAAGCCTCCAAAAGTGTCTCTAAATGCTCTACTCGCTGGATCCTACCCTGTTTCTCGCTTCAGTGCTCCTTTACACTCGCCAACAACTCACGAATGAGCTCGATTGCCTAACAGACATAGCCTCTGGCTTCCATTTCTCAGCTTCATCAATGACACACAAGGAAGTTAAATTTCCGTCTGTCCAGCGGATAGCGAAGAAATTCTCCCATAAAGCTCCTACTTTGTGGCATTTTATTGGCTGTCTCCTTTCAGCGACATTTACCCCTGGGGAAATTGTTGAAATGGATAAATGGGAGGACATCAACGATTTGGAAAACGAAAATAATGACGACGATGATTGCTGGTTAGATTCTAGTGGCCTCCCACCTTCGTCTCAAAGGAGCCGATCCCGTAGTGAGAAGCGGCAGTAAGGATTACAGTCTGATCTTACACCAAGTGCACCGAGTCCAGTTGCTTGCTGAGAGCCAAGGACAGTAAGTAGTGTTATGACTACTAGAATCCTTCCGCCATTATACAGCAATGGCAGTATATCAAGTTTTGCCAGAGCTGTCAAGAGCAAATCCCTCCGATGGATCTGGGCAACGACTGCTCTCAATTGGAGTCTTCCCAAAGACGTCAGCGACATTTCTCCTTATTGTATCTTCCATTGGCTCAGCATATGGGTGCGGATAGGATAGGGATGGAGTCGGTGGCCATGCCGTTCGGGAGTTTACATCGAAGTAGGTCTAAATAGTGATACACATTGAACCGACGTCGGTATAGTCACATGTAGCGCTTACATCATCCCGGATGCAATGTTTTCCACCAGTCGTTCCCCTGGAACGACTGGGTCCGAGTCTGCATATCTCGGTGCTAAATCTTGCTCCAGTGTTGATATGATGTCCGCGGCCTCGCCCACGGCGCTCGTAAGGGCCTCCTGGGTCACGGTGAGGAGGTACGTCTACCACGATGGAAGCGACCTATCTTTCTGTGGTCCCTATCACCGCTCTGGTGGATCCTGGTGCTCACATCTATTTCCCCGTGTCCACTGCATGCCTCGGGATATCTAGATGTCCTCTTTCCACAGGTCTTGTAAGTCACTCAGGCTCCCAGGCTACTGTGGCAGTTGGCTTCGCCGTTCAAGAAAGGTGCCAGGCTGGAGACATCTGAGCGCTGGTGATCAGACATATATCGTTTGGAGCCATGAGCATTTCTGTGTCCCGATTCTCCGTTTCTTTATCATATACATTTCCCACTTCAATCGCGATAGACAGACGCTTACCATAGCCCTGCAAGTGGCATCAAACAAATTACCTGCCTATGGACATTTATGAATGAGATATATGTGGTTAGGGCTTGTTCTACCTAGGACTTCGTAGGGAAACAAACTCTCCTCAGCCTGCACACGACCACTGTGATTCCCTTGTCTCCAGCAGAGAAGTACGCCCGGCGCTCAATATCGTTGTTGTGGCTACCCATACAAGGCACTCCGGTTATGCATAATCAGGTTAATGGGTCTCACTGAGTCTTTCTGGCCAGCGGAACCGTTCGGGGAATTTGTAAATGGAAGTTGGCGATGGTGAACCCGCATACCAGTGTACTCAATCTAACTCATATGCACCTCGTGATCTCAGCTACACGGTCACTCTCCTAGCGTGCTTCTCAAAGGTCGCAGCACAAGTCTCAAATTTAAGCCTAATATCTAATTCCAAAACCAACCAGTCCTAAATAGCGAGGGAAATTGGTCTGAGATGAGTTTAGCATAACTAGACAGAGGGTGTATAGTCCCCTTGGCCCCAAGCAATCTTTCTCTGGGAGGGGCTTCATGCATATATGTCAGGGCACACACCCTGACTAGCCCGGACCCGGACCCGCTTCCACCCGCCGCGCTTCCCGCATGCGCGCATGCTCCGGGCCCGGTTCCTACTCCTTCATGTGACTTCCGGGTATCCCCGGAAGTTTTCCTGATATGGGGCCACTGTGGGAAGATGAGAAGTTAGCTTCCTTCTCATCTTCTTACCCACAGTAGGCAAGTGTATATACTTGCCCTTGTTTTATTACATCTTCTTACCCACAGTAGGATTGTGCCCTGGATAGGGCTGGCCAGACCAGAGGCTGTGGACCATAGGGGAGGGTCATGGGGACCCGGGAGTCGTCCCCTGACAGCTCTGTCAGGGACTGCATGTCAGTTCACGACGATGGAGGTGTTCCCGAGAATCCTAGTCGTTGTTAACGCTGAAGTGCCACCTTCAGTGGAGATAGGGCTTATATACATGGATACTGCTATCCACTAGAGTGCGGCTACAAACGAGATAAAGAACAGCCGATAGAATGATGACATGAAAAGATAACTATTCATTCAGGTAATCGTAAGCGAGGTGTGGGAAAGGGGTGACATGTGGACGGAAGATAGAAGCGGGATGCTAAGTGAGAGCTAAGCGAGATTACCTGCATTCTTCGGATCACTCCGGATCGTCTGACGGCAACTCCCTTCCGGCATAGGGGGTCAGGGTAGCTGGTTAGGCCGTGCCCTGACAATATAATATTACAAAGTCATAGAAGCTGGAGTCCTGCCTACTTCATGCATGCCACCGTGTAATTCATTGTTTCACTGAACCGCGGGTCTACTGAATTATCACAAAAGGGTCCAGTTGTGTAAGCATGATTATGTGGGTGACTGACTAAGCAATTCATTCGGCAAATGCCTTCACCTCTTTTGGATTGAATCACCTGAAGTTTGCCCAATGCCTACCCAACACCAACTGTAACTGCCCAATGACTGCTCCACTGATTTTCAATGAGATGCTGTGGGACAAACTGAATTCACAGTATAAACATGCAATTGGAGGACTCCGCAAAATATTAGAAGAATATACACCAGAAACTATCCTGTAGATGACTGCTATTTTTCATCATTGGTTCCATGTGGAGCCACATCCAAGGCAGATAGAAAATGCAATACACTTGTGCCAGAACAAGGACATATTTCTCACATCACAGACAGGAAGTGGGAAATCGATGTTGACTATGGTTCCAGTGGTTGCACGTCCGTGAGGTCTCAGTGGGTTTGCTCAGCACACAGAGCCGTAAGTGATACAATGGTGTGTATATTATGGTGTATATTATGGTGTGTGTAAGCGGTTCCCCTGGAAGTTACTGCTTACCCATGTGACTATATGTACCTCGTAATTACATATGGCTCAGGGTTTGGGGCTATTGCCCTGACATTCTCCCCCCTTGCATTGCATTCATGGTTAATGATGAAGAGAATAAAACTAAAAAAAGGAAGTTTGAAAATATCAATGAGTGTTTTATTATTGCCACTTTAAAGTGGATGATTTGTACATGTCAGCGAGAGAAATTGAGGGAATGAATGGGTGTGGGGCCATCACTTTGAAGTGAATGGTGATACATGGGTATCGCAAAGGGGAAAAGTGATAAAGAGAAGAAGTTTTTTGAAAATAAATTTCGACCCAAAGATTATATGTCTTTGGTATTCCTCCTCACTTGTTCCATGAGGATTTATGTGTAAATGGTGTTTACACATGAGCGGTGGTGGATGTGGGTTGGACAAAGTAGAAATTTCCGCAATTGTTACTTGCAGTTCCTTGCATACAATATTGTGTGCGGGGCCTCAAGTTGGGGGAAGGTGTTTTCACGGGCACCTCAATGGTGTATTACCGTGTCACTTTGTCACGACCTGGCAATTCCCACAGTCAGGTGATCACTCCCCACACCTTCTCCCTCCTCCGCTTCGACCCGTCAACTCCACTGCCCACCTGACGCTGCCTGAACAAGCCCATCACCCTTCCCCATCACCGCTACCTGTTTCCACAGCCCGTCATGGGCCTACGAGTCTTTCCTTATCACACTTGTTTTTCTTGACGGCCATGCACAGCCATCCTTCTCCCACACTCTTTGTTTGTTTTCATTCCTTCTTAACCCTGCCTGCAATCTCCGTGAGATCTGGCAACTTATTTCTATTCATTCCGTTATACTTAAATACCGGTTGTACACTACCTCATACTTTAGTTCGAAAATCAACTAGGGTTACCCTGTAAGGGATTAACCTTACTTCACTATAATTCCGATTATAGTGATATTTATATTATGTTGCATCACTATAATTCCCATTATAGTGATGTGGTTATTTCTTTATTTATTTGTGCCGAGATATGTAATTTACATATATATACCTCGGAGTAGTTGTAAAGGCCTGGTAGCCTTTTACCTC